GGGGGGGGGGGGGGGAAGGGAAATCTGTGGCTAAGCTGTGGTACTATGAATGATTGGCTGATAAATTGTTGTTTTTACATTGCTGGGCGGTGGCCAAGGTCTTCAAACACGGCTAGTGAGTGTGGGTGCTTCCAGTTGTGGGCGCCCAGCCTCAGACATGTTAAAGGAACCTACTTCTCAGTGGTTGGACTTTCTGAAAATCCAGCCCCGAATGAGTGTTCCAAGTTGGGCACCTTGAAACAGCAGTCATTGTTTGAAAACCTTGGCCTGGGAGTTTAATTAGTTGTTAGAGCATATGTGAATGAAAGCCAATAATATATAGAGCGCACTGCAAGCTACCCAGGTGCAGTTCTGCCTGCACAGCCTAATCCTAGCAAGTAGCCCCCTGCTGTTCCAGTTCTCGTTTGAGTAGTGTTGTGAATTGAGCTAGATTGCATTGTAGTCTTGTGCTACCACAAAATTAATATTAAATAATAATAAAGGGAACTAATACCCACAAAGGAGGATACACCTCAAGGTGCACACTGATAGCAGGGGATCAGCCAATTCTGGGAGTGTCACCCCTAGCCTCTTTTGCCCACAGGTAGGAACGTTACAAATATTTTAATATGGCATATCCATGATTCTGAAAGGGGTAGGTTAGGTGTTCATGCTACATCATGCTAGCAGAACAGTATGTCCCCTCTGGAATAGAGATAAGATCTGGAGTATATTACAGGGGAAAATAAGAGTTTGGTTTGTTGAGGGGTTTTGACATTTTGTTGCTCAAATCGCCACAGCCTCGTTCTCTGCGTCTTCCAACGCCCAAACTGATAATAGGAAAACATCAGGAAAAAGAGTATCGCTTTGAACAGTTTAATGTGTGTTTTTTAATTTCTTTTATTGGTTGAAGGCTGCAGGATCAGAATGGGATATGGGCAGAGTTTTTGATCGTGCTAGTTCTCATGCCACACTTGGATTATAGGGCCCTTTGCTACAGAATGCAGTGTATTGTGGTGCTATCTGGGTTCTCCCCCCACCACCATGTAATTACTTGAAATGCAGCTTCTAAGTCCTGCTAAAGGCATATTGCTTTCTTTGGTCAGCTGGCTCCCCTTCCCCACACAGCTACTCCTGTCTGACATTGGAGTGAAACAGTGTGGCTTTCCCAGTGTCAGCATATTCATGGCATGCTTCTCATTTGAAAGTTTGGAATTCCTTTATAGTGAACAGTTTTGGCCTTCTTTTTGTCTGACATGAGGAAAATCTATTCCAGAAAAACAGAAGGAAATGTAATCAAGGGAGAGTTTAGAGGGGGGGTTTTCCATGCTCCCTTTCCAATCTTTCCTTCCCCTACCCCTAAGCGCCAAAAGGTTCTGTGCATGCCGAGTGAAATAGTCTATGCACTGCATGCCATTTAATTCTAAAGGGCGTGCTCAAGAATTTTTTCACAGCAAATGCATTGTTAATGGAAATTCACTATTCACTAATGCACCAAATTAAATCTGACCCCTTGTAACATCTGCAATGTACTTACCCACGGTGTGGGAGATGGCTACAGGTCCTATGAGGTAGGACAGCCTGCATATGTTTAAATGTGAATTATGTTATGTTTGAGATTGTTAGCACTATATTGTGTTAGATCCTTAACATTGCTGTTCTCTGTGAGGCCTGACCTAAGAATTATTGCCCAGTTAGGGGGTGATTGTTTCTTTTAATCAACACAGCTATGCCGCTAAAATCCCTAGCGTAGATGCAATTGTACCAGTGTAACTGTGCTTATACTGGCCAGGTCTACACTATAGATTTTTGCCAGCCAGATTGATTTTGGTCACAGGTGTGAAGAAGTGCGATTTGTGACTGGTATAGCTGTGCCACCGAAAGCCTCTAGTATAGACGGAGTTATAATGGCAGAACTGAGCTTTTGCTGGTATTGCTTATTTTGCTCAGGTCAGCGAGGGAAGGAGACTGAAATAAGCTAAGCCAGCAAAAGCTCACCTTTGCCAATATGAGCCGTGCCTATGGTAGGAACACTTTGCCAGTATAGTATACGGGTGTAGCTATATCAAAAAGCACTCATAGTATAGACCTAGCCAAAAGTATAGCTTATGCTGTTTGGGGGACCTGTCATCAGCATATTTACGCTGATACAGTTGCATCCACCCCAGATGGTTTTGCCAGTATAACTATATCCTCGTCAGAAAAGCTTCTTTGAGTTACTCTAGTTGCTAAACATTCACACATCTCTTTTTAGGGAAACAAAGATGTTCCCTTGCCTCAGGTACTTATTAACGAACATTTTTTTTTATCACCAGGGTTGAGAGGTGTGAGTTTGGATAACAGAGACAAGCAGTTCATGTCCTGTCTGCATTTAGAATGCAAATGCTCTTGAGCCCCAAAAGACATTCTTATGTGCACATAGTATAAATTCAAATGTAGGAACTTTTTAAAAGCTCTGTATCACCTTTCAACTTGCAATTTCAATTCTGTCACTTTATTCTCATTGTTTCTCATTATTTAAGGAGGACAGGAAAGAAACCAACATCACAGAGAATAAGGTTCATAACACAATTCTCTACACACAATAACTTTAGCACATAGGCATTAAATCCATATGTTAATCTTTATCTGCCCTGGTAAGATTGACCCAGCAGATAGTAAGAGCTACAAAGAACTCCTTATTATGGAGGCGCTACTGGTGGCTTTGTACTTAAGGTTTTGTGGAGTTTAGAGTTAAAGCAGGGTTTCAATTCCTTTGTAATGGACGAAAAGTCATGTTTGTCATAACCAAAATTATGACATTTACTCGGAGGGCACAAATTTTATTTTTGGGAAGGTTACAAGTAAATACATTCATTGGATTAGGAGTTCAAAGGAGTTTAAAAGTTACTCTTTCGGCTGGTATCTAACTTTTTTTCCAGGCCCCTTTAACCTGTATATGGGTTTGTTTTTACACTTCAAACTTTACGTAGAAATAGATCTTCATAGTATCTTATATAAAGGCTTTAAAAAAAAACCCAGCAAACTTATTAGCATTCTCCCGCATTAATATTTCTCTCTGCGCTCCGGTGACTGACAAATGAAATATGTTTGTTTAACAAATGAAAGGTGGGGAAGACTGTGGAATAGGGCTCTGCGTAGCTCACTAAAGCAGAGTAGCTATTCTAAGAGTACTTATGACTGTCAAAGCTCAGGCATCCTTTCCAGTTACACATGTTCGAAGATCATGCACTTTTTCTGAGCTGGACAGTAGTGGAGCTCTTGCCCTGTGGACCTTAAGAGGCATGTAAATATTCACATTCTGTGGCTGGAAGCATCCTTGGGCCACGCAATGGCTCATGGCAATGGGGGAGTAGTGGGGAAGTATCCTAGAAGAAATAGAAGGAGATGTGGTATAAGAGGTCACGTGAGCTGGAAGGTAGGAGTCACTCAAATTTAAACTGGATTGGCGCTCGTAACTTTTTTTTAATATTCTGTGCATATAGTTTTCTGTGGGAGCTGATAGACGGCTCATGCCTTTGAAAACTCTCATCCAGAGCCTAAACTTTTCTAAAGTACTACTACATGTTCATGGCAGTGAACAATTTAATTCCCTAAGTTTTCTATTCAATTTCCATTCATTAAATGTACATCTGTAAGGCTCTGTGCGTGTATGTGCATGCGCATGCAAAACTGAAGTATACAATAATGAGAAGACCGTTTAGAAAGTTTTCATATCCAGAATTTTACGTAGGATCAGATAATGGGAATCAAAGGAGGGGACTGGGCACTCAGTACAGATTACAGTATATACAGTGTCTTGAAGAACACTTGGATACAGAGTATATACAGTAATGTGAATTTAAAATTCTCTGCTATTTCTATTCCATTTTTTTTCAGCTTGATCCTCTTCCAGAAAAAGTCTTGCAGCAGAGAGCAAATGCCAATGCAGTGCATTCCATGGAAAAAGTAATTGAGATACACAGTAAGTATCTATAAGCTTGGCTCAGATAATTCTCCTCTGAGCTGTCTCAGGCAACACTATTTTGACACCTTCATCATCTTATCAGTTATAGTAAATAAATTCTCCTGAGGTCTGCTAGATTTACTTCAGCTGGTTTGCTGATGGTCAATGTACAGTAAACACACCCTGTGCAACCACGAGCTGAACATGCAAGATGCAGAAGCCTAATTGTGTAAGAGTATGTCTACACAGCTCACAGCAGCAAGCCTCCCAGTACAGGTTGATAGATGTGGGCTCACACTAGTGCTCTAAGGGGGGAAAAAAAAAAAGGGCAGCAAATTGTCCTACTGTTGCTGAAGAAATTGAGGTTGGGGTCATTTGTTAAAGGAACTAAACACAGGTTAAAGGTCAAGTTTCCTCCTTGTGCTGTGTGTGGTGGGATGTATGGGTAGTGCTTACGTGCAGCCTCTCATGGCTATTAAAGAAGTTGAATTGGGAATTGTTACAGCTTCTAATTAAGAATGAACATTAATAGAAGTTAAACCCAGCATTGGGTAGAAGTGCTGGAATCGTAGGCTTGCCTATGCTTTTAAAAATAAAATGCTGCTGTGTCAGCATGGAGCACTTTGAACTCTTCTGCTAATGTTGTTTATTTGTAGCACCAAGAGACCCCAAGCTAGATTGGGGCCCCAACATGCCAAACACATACACACCGGAGAACCTGTCCCTAGGTTAGGTTATAATCTAAATAGATAAGACAAATTGGAGAAGGAAAGTGTTGTCCCCATTTTACAGGCAGGGAACCAAGGACCCGAGAAATTAAGGGCAAAATTTTCAAAAGTGAATAAGTTACTTAGGAGCTTTAAGTCACATTGGAAGTTAATTGGATTTTCACTCCTAAGTACCTAAGTCACTTTTGAAAATGGCTCCTAAATCATTTGAGTGTTTTTGAAGTTTGCCAAAGTGTCTTGCCCAAGGTCCCACAGGCAGTCTGTGGCAGAGTCAGCACTTGAACCCATTTCTCCAGTTCAGTGCCTTAACCACAAACAGTCCTTCGTTTTTCTGTATATTCTTCCGTAGCTCTAAATTTCTGAGGATTTTTAAGAGTCCAACTGTCCCTGCTGCTGCTTCCTCACCTAAACCTAGCTCAGGTGTTGGTGATGTTATAAACTTTTTCACAACCAGGAATTATAAGGTTTCCAAACCGCCATGGGGCTTCAGGTGAGGAATAAGCAGCAAAAGCAGGTGAACTCTCCATTTAATATCTTCCACCTGTCTTTAGCCGTTCAAAGCAGAAGAGCAGTTTCATTCATAACCAGTGATTCAGCTCTGGTTTTGGATCCAAAGTTTGATTGGAAGGATGCTGGCGAAGCATATTCAACAAAGTCTTCAGCAATGCTGGGCAGAAGTTTGTTTTCACGTGTTTCTTCCAGCACTGAATGGCCATAGAATCCAGGGTTCTTGGCAGACAGTAATTCTGACTTCGGACTGTGTTGACCTGTCAGCCTCCTCATTCCACTTTCATTTTAAATGCACCTTATTGTCTGAAGGAGACAAACTGGGGTGAAATCCTGACCCTCCCCCACCCCCAAGCCAATGGCAAAATTCCCACTGATTTCAATAGCACCAAGATTTTACCCCTGATTTCCAAGAAACTGCTCCGTTAAAAGGACGTTCCATTGTGCTGTGGACATACTGAAAAATCGTTGCCTCTAAATACTTAAAATGTCTTAGGAAACAAACTGTTTGGGCTAATTATATGCTGGTTTACATAGCTACAGTAAACACTTACTTAAAAGCAGATCTTTATTATGACAGCACCACTGTGATAACATATGTTAACAAAGCAGCATGGCACTAAAGCCAGATATCAGCTAATAACTGTACTGTTGCTGTAGAATTAGCCAGACTGTTTATCATTGTGAATCATCATAGTTACAATGTAGAAGTAAACTGGCTTTTCCATATGGAGAACTACTCAGCTTCTCGCTTCAGGAGGCCATCATTACCTCAGGTTGGCCAGCATATTTATCAGATAACCAGATCTTCAGACTGAGCACTCATGTACCAGATTCCTTTCCGCAGCTCTTGATACTAAATTGGTCACGGTGATGATTTTAAAACCATGTCTGTATTCCAGTCTTCATGTAGCCAGGGCTGCAAAATTACTATGGTATTTTTCCCCTCACTGTGTTGTGAGCCATAAAAGCAAATGAAGAAATACACTAAAAAAGCTGATGATCTATTCCGTTTTTTGAACCATAATCTCTCCCTCTGTCTGAGACATTTGGGCTGCACCTCTCTGCTGGTAAATACTGGAGGCAGCTCAGACTTATCCATGGGTCTCTGGATGCTTTGCCACCTTGACAAAGGTTTTTCTGGCCATGCAGACAGAGCAGTGGTGCAGCACTCCTGCCTTTATCTGTTGCTAACTTGGATTTGGAAGCCAAACTTCGGGGCAGCAGGGGGTAGTATCCTCCACTTCATCCCATCCCCAGTCTGTGGGGAAGGTACTTTTTCATGGATAATACTCTGAACTGAACCACACTAAGCTCTTCCTTCTGTGTCCCTTTTCCCCACTCCTCTCCCCCTCCCCCCCCCCAGGCCCAAACTCAGCATGATCAACTCTGCTAAATGGAGCAGGCAAAGGCCAAGAGATGTTCCATGTGTGAGGGGAGCTGTGGAAGGGGAGCTCTGTTCCAGTTGCTCCCAGCCCACAGCTAGGGGAAGGAGCACAGAGTCTGGATGGCTTGCTGGGGTCTCTGCATCCTCCCACATTAGCCAAGACTAGGGTTACTATATTTCAGGTTCTCAAAAAGAGAGTGGGGGGTACATTGGGGGAGCTGGAGGGAGTGCCTGCAGCAGGGGTACTCACTGGAGGTGGGGGGGGAGGGGCTGTGTCGCTCCCTGTCTACCAGCTGGCGCAAGCCCAGGATGCAGTGACAACTGTCAGTCAGTGCCTCCCTGCGGGAACCTCACCCCAGGTCTATGAGCTGGGGGCCTGGGTGGGCGGGATCTGGCAACTGTGGCTACAGGGGAATGGACCAATCAGCTGTCGATGCAGGGGAGGGACTGATCGGGAAGCGAACCAATCGAAGCTCTTTCTAAACTGCAGTGTCTGCTCAGAAAACCCCCTGGACATTGCCTGTTGCTTGAAAAATCTGCCCGGACAGAGGACGGAGGCTCAAAAAAGAGGCAATGTCCAGGAAAACCTGGCCAAGACTGCTCCAGTGCCACCTCCTCAAGAACCTCACCACCAGGCTGCAGCTCCCTGCTGCAACCCTAAGAGTGGGGGAGCTTGTGATAAATTAATACAGATTCAGGCTGTATTTACTTTTCCTTGTAAGCTGCATAGGGCTTAAGGAGGAAGGGTGGATGTGTCTCCCCACACAAACCCCAGCACTCCATAGGGTCTTGAGGGATGAGACAGGCTCAGATGTGGTTGCATTTAATTGGTAGGTGATGATTCCTATATGTGTAGAGAGAGCTTTTCAAAAGTGCCCAGTGTTGGCTTTGAAAAACCGGTGGGAGTTTTAGTAAAGGCTCAATGAGAGTCAGATAGGCCAATGCTGAGTGCTTTGAAAATTTCGCCCATAATGTTTCAAGTGTCAGGCTCTATCTGAATGCAAGATCATGGTGACACTGAAAGCACCAAGCCCTGAGCCTGCTCACTTTTTCATAATAACTAATAACATCATCACTTTGTGGTACAGCAGCTGGCCTAACAGCCTGTTTTTAATCCTATGTCTCGCTTAGGCAAGTATTGGCATTCACTCCAGCGTTACTCCTCCACGGTGGGGTACTCCTTGATCGAGGCACAGAAATGTGAGACTGAAGAAGCAGAAACAGTAACAGCCATGGCCTCGCTGTCAGTGGGTGTGAAGCCAGCTGACAAGAGGTGAGTTCCCTCCACGTCCATCAATCTAACTGATCTCAGAGATGGAAGCCATTAGTAGTGTGGACAGTAATGTGTGTAACCATCTGGTGATGCAGTGCAGAGTCTGACTTCATCTTTTTGTCATTTCCTTTTAACTGGACACGTTCCCAGTATCGTCAGGGTAATTATTTCAACAGTAAGTGGCTCCTGCCCCTCTGTTTTATTACACCCTCTCAGACTAGCCAGGAGAATGGTGACAGTGCCAACCATGTCTTAATATGCTATACACACTGGCTCCTCTGGTCCAAAGCAGCCGAGCACACGCATTCATCAAGACTGGAGGGGAGTCAGCTCTTCAGTGCGATGATTTTGAACTTCAGAAAACCTGGAGAAATGCTGCTCTTTCCACTTGTAGCAGACTCTCCAAAAAGTTTAAAAGACAGTTTAATTCTTAACAGCCTGGGTGAGTAAAACTTACATGGGTTTGCAAACTGGGTATTAGTGAGAGTTTTGGGGAAAACACACATTAGTGCACTAGAGAAAGTGTAGCACTTTTGTACACAGCACACTGTGAATTTCTCATCCTTATCATGCCCCTGCCCTTTTTTCTTTTTCTCCCTCCCCCCATTCTGCCTCCTTTGGATGAAATTGTTTACAGACCAGATGATGAGCCCATGGAAGAGGAGCCTCCCATGTAGCGTTCACCTTTGAGCTGGAGTTCTCCTGTTTGTTCGTCTTTGTCTTGAAGCTCTGCCAAGAAGCTTTCTCTTGTTACTCCTGCGTCCTGTCATGGTTTTCTTACAGAATACAGAAGGGACAACCAGGTGTAAAACACAGCAACAGAAAAATCTCTCCATATATATATATACACATGTATACAGCATATACAGAAAAGGAAAAATGCTGGTGAAGAGCAGCAGTGTTGAAGACAAGCACGTATGCTGGGCATTCTTCTTCTGGTCCTCAATGGAAGCCGTAAGGGGAACAAAGCCCATGAAAGTCTTTGGCAAAGTTGTCAATTTTTTTTCTAAAAAAAATAATTAAATCAAAGATTCAACAACACAAAAACAAACAAACTTCATTTAAAACTGGTGCTTAAAGTTTGATTACCCACAATTCAGCAATCTCCGTTTGAACCACTCAACCCATCTTGTAGTTTTGTTTCTTGGATTTTTTTTTTAAATGGCTCTCGTCTACCTGTGAGTCAGACATTCTCTTCAAAACCAGAACAATGCGAGATGGTGTATTTTTAATGGGGAGGGTGGGGGAAAGAGGACTAATCTATCTATCTATCTATCTATATATATATATATATATAAAATCAACAAAAAAAGAGGAAATGGAGCTCAGAAGGAGTCGGCTTTAGTAACTCCAAAGCCATCTGAAGATGAGTTTGTGCCTTTTTTTTTAATTGAGCTGATGGATTTGGTGCAGCTGGATTTTCTGAAGTTTGAGGAACAATGCCTTAAGAAAAAGAACAGCAGCAGTTTGTCAACATATTTCCTCTGGGAAAGCCAAGAACTGCCATCAGGAAGGAAGACTGGTTTGTGCTGGCATGATTACTGGAAGCAGGCATCAGCTGCAGAGAGCATCTCCAAAACGGTCTAAAGTTTGGATTTTTTGTTTTGTTTTATTGCTGTGGGAAAAAAATTAAGGTAGTTGCCAAGGAAGTGGCAAATACTGTTGGATCTTTGAAATTCAACCAATTTTGAAAACAAATTTTCGAACATTTTCTCTCTCTGACATTATGTAGAAATTGAATTTACCAATCTGGTTGTTGAAGCATGCAATAGAGACAACTGCAGTTTTAAGATTGGAATGCTTTTCATTAAAAGCAACTAGCATGAGATATTGCTTAAATTGTTAGGTGTGTGTGTGTGTGTGTGTATGTATATATGTGTATATATATATATACATATATACACGTATATATGTATATATATATATACGTATATATGTGTATATATATACGTATATATGTATATATATATATATTACAAATGTATTCCAAGCTTAGAAATCTGATTCTTATGAATTATTGATAAATATTTATAATGCATTTATATAAAATAAATATATATAATAAATGCAGACTATAAAAGTAGCCATTGAAAGGTCCCTAGTGAAAGATTTATTTGTTAATTGGAATTGGTGCTTTTGGAGAGGGATCTAGTTTGAAACTTGAGCATTTTCAAACTACAATTTGGAAAGTTTTCAGAACACCAACACATTAGCCACTGGGCAACTACCCTAAACATTTGTATTTTAATTTAAGGTTTTCTAACAAAAATGAGTTTTTAAGCAAAGATTATGAATTTGCTGTTAATTTTTATATTGATATTTCACAAAAACCCTAAAGAAGCCTTGTTTGTGTGAATCTTACATTTATTTTACATTTGGCAGTTGTTTTTCTGAATGGTAACAATGTCAACATTTTTCTTCCCTAATCTCATCCGTGTACATTACTTTCTGTGGGGTTTTTTTGTTTTGTTTTGTTTTTTAAGTCTTTTGTACAGTGAGCAGCTTTCCACAGGTGTACGGAACTGTTGCAGGTTGTCAGAGTTTATTTTCAGAACGCGTGCATTTAACTAAAAGAGGGGAATCCAATGGTCTCTTTTGTATGATACCAATGATTGTATATTTCCTCAGTTCTGTGATAGAAGCTGTGTAAAGAAAATAAGAGTTTTACCTTAAGCATAGTAGTATTACAATGGGTGATGTATCATATCCTCCATGTGGATTGTGGCGAGGATTATATATGGCATTAGTAGCTACCATGTTGAAGGCTTGCCAGACACTATTGAGGCAACTAGCATTCACTCACACACACTAAGCATCTTTCTGAACCACCATTGTTAGAATTGTAATTTTAGTCCTCCAAAGAACTTTTTTTTTCAAATATATTTTTAAGATGAAGTCATTGTTGGGTGAGAGAGTTTTAATCTTCAGCTCCATTGATTTTTCCCTATTGCCTTTCGGAGCTGGCCTGCAGTATAAGCAGCTAATCCTTGAGTTGTGGAGTTAGTGACTAAAGGAGACCAAATTGACACGTGTACCTTTTCAAAGCAGAGTAGGATAGCACAGATCTCTTATCTGAACAACCAAGGGTATTTTTTTTATTATTATTATGATAACTGACGGTCATTTTATATTACTTATTTTCCAGTTCTTGAAGTAGCTGTTTTTCATTCCATTCAGAACATACTAAGTTCAGGCTTGTGGAAAGAATTTGAAACATACCATGCAAGTGCAAGAGGGTTCTTTGCTTTGTTTTATAATGCAATTGAATAAACAGACACTACTGTATTTGAGTTTTTGCTAACCCAAGTACATTTAAAATTATGAAATGTTTTGGTTATTAGAACTGTCTTCAGCATATTCTAACGGTAAGGTTCAAATATAAAAATGCAAAAAATGTGTATGCATTGGTTTTTTAAATGACCACTTTGCTGCTGTGATCTAAAACATAATTTGGCTGTGGAATCCTGTGATTTCATACTTTACATCATTTACCCATTCATAAATGTTGGCAATATCAACATATACATGATGCCTTTTGTATCCAGACCTTCCTAACTGTTTTTTTTAATTAACAATTTTAGTATCACTTGTGGAAAATATTTGTGTTCCTCTTTCCTTGTGAACAATTGCCGACAGATTGAGTTGATTTCTTTTAAATTAGATGATTGGCAATAGCCTGAAATATTCAGTACCGTTCCATCTTGTCACTTTCAAGATGCATTGTTCATTTATTTTAAATCATTTCACTAAGTTATTGCCATCAATGGAAAGACTTACCAAGACTTTACAAGTCGTCAGTCTACTCCAAAGTCTAGTTCACTTGGATTGGCTACAACCTTACTTGCCTAAACCCACTCAACAGGCCACATCTGAGTGCTCCGTGGCCTGTCTGACCTTGACTGGTGCAGATAGAAGGGAAAGGAGGTGCTCGTTTTGGAGACCACCATTTTTTCACGCCTTGAGCTTTTGGCCTCTTCATTTCAGTAGCCTTCTAAGAAAATGTGGGTCAGTGAGCATCCAGTCCTGAGGGGAATGCTAGCAAACTCTCTGGAGTAGCCACCAAAGAGGTGCATTGCAGGTAGATTCAATGAGCACTCATTCCCTTTCCTTTCTACTTCCCCTCCTGAAAGCCAGGCATGATGCACTTCAGTTCCACCAGCAAGAGACCAGAAGTTGTGCATCACTTTGTAGCCAAGTCTTTGGGGTGGCCCAGTAAAATAATACTTTTTTCTTTTGCCTGTTTGGAAACGAAGCAACATCTTCAAATTGTCTTACAGAGAAGCAAGTCCCAGTTTGCAGTACACAATTGATCATTTTGTTTTTTTACTTTCAATACGAAACATTCCTTTATTAGTCGCAGTCATGTATTCATTCCATTCTTCCTTTTTGTAACTTTTTGGGCCCACGTGTTTTATGGGCATTGATATATATAAATATATATATATAAATATATATGAATATATTTTTTTAAGTTTCCTACACCTTGAGGTTGCATGGTCTGTAAGGTTGGCATGTCTTTATATTGTATACAGATTTTGCACGCCAAACTTGGCAGCTTTGAAAAAAAAATTTCCCCTCGTGGGATTTGCAGAGACAAAGGTTGAGGCAATTTTCTGTCAAACACACACAAAAAGGAAGGAGAGTGGGGGTCGGGGGAATTGCATCTTACTGAACTTAAGAAATTGTGCTTTTTATTGTAAAAAGATAAATAAAAAGGACTACTTAAACATTTCTCATTTTAAGAAGAAAGAGTTTATCTAGCACTTGTGACTTACCAATAATAGAGTTTATTGTATTTATGTGGAAAACAGTGTTTTTGGGAAACTACACAGAACACGCGAAGTAAACTGCCTATGTCATTTTAAAACAAAAATTTGGTTGGGTTTTTTCTTTTTGTTGATTTTTGTTTTGTTTTCTCTTCGCTGGGAGGGCGGGGAGTTGGGCACATCCCAACACATCTAGGCATTCATTCTGAGAAAAAAAGGATTTAAGGAGTTAAGTCTTCAGCACAGCTGTGTTAACTTTTTTAATGACTTTGAAATGTCTCACTAGATTTCACTTTAAACAGTCGTGTACTGTGCAAGCACTGTGGTTTAAAATAAGACTTTACATCAAAAGGAATAAAAAACGTTTCTTCATTGTGACGAAGCTGGGCCTGTTCTCAGCTCTGCTTCATGTACTTTGATATTGATGAAAAAGTATCCTATTGAAAGAAAATAAATTAACACTTTTCTGTGCTCCATAGTGGAGGCGCTATTTTCCAATTTATGAGGATGACAAACTTATATATATATAATATATATATATATATATAATAAAAAGGGGGGGATGGGTTTGAACATTATTCACCCAAGAGCTTATTACAGATATGTAGTATCAAAGTTGTAACTATATTATATTCTACTTTATACCTATACATGCTCAGTATGATGTCACCATTGGTAGCAGCTACCGGTTTACTCTGTAATTTAGACACAATTTCACTCTTATTGTATGGACCCTACTTTAAGTGATGGTAGCATTCTTTGTGCTAAAATTTTCTGATGATCCTTTCTTTTACTTGGTGGAGTTGGAATTTTTTTTTCTCATTCTTGTTTTTGTTTTATTTGTTTTTTTGTTTTTGTTTTTGTTTTTTACTGGCCAATGGTGTCTTTCTCTGACAGTACCAACTTCAATTTCAACTTTATTAGGAGTCCAGTATTTTGTACCACATTATGACAACTTGTTATTCTTGTGGTGTAAATAAAAAGAAAAGTTAATTATAGTACCATCTTTGTTTCTGCTAGTGATCTTCTTCATAGCTGATGTCTCCTGTTTAATTGCTTGGATCAATCTTGTTGCCCGACCATCAGAGGCATAGTAACTGTTCGCCTGGTTAAAAGTTTTCAAAATATTTCTTGGTCTCACAAAAGAAGTTCTGATATTCTGCTAGCAGTAATAGGTTGATCATTTCAGTCTGTAGACATTTAAGCATATTTCTTATTACTAGTGAACTGAATGTAATATTTTTCTGAGGTTAAACCCACAATTATGTCTGCTGTATATCTGAAGAGGTATATTCCCCGAAAAGGTGTTAATGAAACTATCTGTATGTGCATCAGTAAGAGAATATACCACTGAGGCAATAAATTAAGACTTTATAATATGTAAGGAAGGACTTCAGAACAGTGGATGCCACAGAACAGCACTTGCTGAGTTAGTCTCAAAATGTAGGCCCTGATCCTGCAAACACTCATATACGTGCTTAACTATCCACACCTGAGTAGCTCCATTGAGTTCACAGTGCGTGAAGTAAATATGTATGGGTGTTTGCAGGATCGGGACCTTAATTTTCTCCCAAAACATTTTCAGCTAGAAAGTCTGTCTTTCCAGATCTCTTGTGCAATTCTAAAAGAAGAAGAAAATGAATACAACCAGCATACATGCTACTCAGAAAACTAACTGCCCCCTGTTTTAACAAATCATGTGTGTACTGTATGCAAACATGCAAACAAGTTGTATATACAACTTATGTAGACTTATAATAACTTTAAAATTGTTCTTAAAGAAGCCTGCTGCAGCGTTAAAACATTCAAAGAACATTAACTGCCAATAAGGAATGGATGTGCTCTCAAAACCCAAAAATGTCTTGCTGAAATTAATGGACAAAGAGGCACAAGTGTTTGCCTTTTCTTGAGTATAATGGGGTCATACACTGTAGTTCTGGGGTTACAGAAGAGATCTGAAAAGAGCAGAAACACAACAAATGGTGTTAACAGTGGCATTTCTGTAAGACAAAGTTCCTCTAGGAGATAGAGGGCTTCGTTGAAGATAGTGGCGGGGTGAGTAGATATAGTCTGTCTGCGGTTTTCAAAGCTTATGACCCAAAGGTTTATTTTCATACACGAGTGGGTGCTTAACATGTGAGACTTCATTCTGCGTCTTTACCACAAACCCAGTGAAGTTGCTGGTCTGTTCAGAGATCAGTTAGCTTATCAATTCACTGGATACGTTGTTTCCATTGAAGTCAATTTCTTGGGAGCATAGTAGGCCAACATTGGGTGCTTTTGAAAATCCCACCCATAATCTGTAACCTTATATCCTAAAGGTCATGCTCCAATGTTAACCTCCTACCCACATATTTTCCCAAACAGGAAGATAGTTAACCCAATTAGGTCATCTTCTGTTCATGATCACATATAGAAACCTAGGAGGAGGAGGATTCTCCTATCAGTGTTCAAAAAAACTATCATGAGATACCGTCATCATGCAGCCTTCTGAAGTTATTCTGCATCAGCTGCAATAAAACAGTCAGAACACACAATTTCACCACATAAGTGTGAAACACATGCCAGAATGAGGCATGAAGCAGGCGATAATGGCGATTATAGATAATGAAAATCTTCAAAGAGAGCATAATCTATCTCAGAGTTCTCTAGAGTGCCAATCACTGGAGTACATAAGTGCTTCCCAGGTAAATTAGGTCTGCATGGCAAAGTCCCTAGCAGGCCTCTTGTGGCTTCTGCTCTTCCATGGTAGATGAGGTTCTGTTTGGGGTATTCCCTGCGCCAGTTCCCTCTCCCAATAAATTTGGCTCTGGTGGGAGGGTCTTGCAGCATGGCCCAAAAGTGGTCAGGCTCTAGATTAATCTAATCTTGAGAAAATTGTTCCATAGCCCAATCCCATCAACCAAGAATGTCCTCTCTGGTTCTCACATGTTTCGCCTTGAGTGCTGCGAGATGCATTATCCCAGTGGAGCTGGCTGCCACGGTGAGTTGTGCATGTAAATGTAGTCATTGATGGAGCAGGGGGGTAACCTGTTGATGGCCTGGAAGATCAAGACTAAGAGCTAGCCATGGGAGCCAGTGAAGGGATGAGAGCACAGGACTGTTGCATTCACAGTGGCCAATCCCACTGAGGACAGGGGCTGCTGCTGGGGCCTCTGCATTGCAATCACCTTCACACCCAGATACAGAGAGTTACAGCAGTCCAGTCTGGAGGTCTCTAATGCATGGATCACCGGGCCCAGGTCTCTACTGAACAGTAGGGGTGAAAATTCCTGGGGAATTGGAGCCAGAAGGTACTCGTCACCACTGAAGCTACTTGTAATCTTGGTAGGAAGTCAAACAGGACCTTGAAGTTTCACAGATCCCCCCCAGTGGAAGGTGGAGTGTGGGCATGGGGATTGTAAAATGGCCATTTCTCTGGATAATTTCACCTTCCCCTTCTCACCAGCTTCACTTTGGACTTGTCTGTGTTGTTTTTCTGTCAGCTATTCTTCAGCCAGATGCTGATCTCATCTAGGCATTGTGGTGGCGCAAATGGAACAGGTTTCATCAAGGTGGGGTTGACAGCAAAGTCCATGGGCTCCCACCATCTTTCTACGCAGTTTAATGTAGACGTTGAAGGGATGGAAAACCTGTCGTAGAGGAATGGAAAACCTGTCGTATGAAAGGAGACTCGAGGAGCTCGGTTTGTTTACCTTAACCCACATGTGTCAAACTCAAGGCCCGCGGGCCACATCCGGCCCGCCATACAACTATATCCGGCCCGCGAAATCGTTTTATATATCTGTTTTTAATGGCCCTGTGATATGACGCCCCAATAACACACATTACAAATCCCATGATGCAGTGCAATTGCCGCCAACGGCAAGCCGCGGTTCAAGTTCGCGGTCTGTTGATGTATACAACGCTAATATCAAATCAAAGCTAGACCCCAACAATGGCCAAGAGAAAACTTGATTCTGAAAACCGAGGCTTTCAAAGCTGCAGAGACAC